CCCCTTCCTACAATTGCCCCTATAGCAAGCTGTGTGTTATGTGGGCACCCATGCGATTACGGTCTGTAGACACACACAGTGTGGCTCGTCCACAACCCTTGCTCCCTCCTCACAGGACTTGACTGACAGCTGAAGGAGCCCATGGCAGTGTTTCCCCTGAAAGCAGTAAGAGGCAGCAATGCTGCTGTGGACAGGTCAGCACTGGATCAGTGGAGGTGTCAGGTCAGGGGCGGACTGACAACTCATGGGGCCCCCCGGGCAATAGGGGATCATGTGTCCTTGCCCAAACTCAAAAAAGCCTATGAAAAAGATACCAGGGGCATCTCATGGGGCCCCCTACTTACCCCGGGCCATCGGGCAGTGCATGAGTGTCCAAATGGTCAGTCCACCCCTGGGTTAGGTAAGTGTTTGGGGGGCACAAGTAGTGTTACATTTTTTACCCTAATTTAGGGAATGCGTTAAGTTACAAAAAAAGTTTTGAATTTAGAACCACCTTTAAATACCACCAAAACGAAGCTCTACATGTCTCAAAAAATGATATAAAATTCCTGTTTTTTTTTTTTCTTTGAATCTGTGCAGTTGTTGAAATGACCTCCTACCAGTTCTTATTTTGAGTGGTAACACTTTTGTAAACTAGATCTACACTCCTCTGTGTTGCCACTCAGGCTGCAGTGAGTTCTTGGCGAGAAAGCCTTGAATATCGTCTTTCCTCCACAACAAGTCACTCAAGTGACATTCCTGTAGGTCACGCATGGTAGCTCAAGGATCATGATTGACTGCATTTCCTAATTGGTCTGATTTTTAGCATTGCTATTTAGGGGGGAATTTGGGTGGAGCTCTGTCAGTCACACGATTAATTAAAAAAACTATTTAAAGGTAAAAAAAAGTGTGCGAACCAAACTCATGAAAGCAACACTTGCTTTCATATGTTTTGTTCAGCATAATGTTATTTCTAGCATGCTCATAATTTAAAGCAGGGGGTCTCTAAACTTTATAAACAAAGGGCCAGTTTACTGTTTTTCAGACTTTAGAGGGGCCGGACTGTGGCCAGTGGGAGAAGAAAATGTCCTGGCATCAGTGGGAGTAAACAATGCCTCATCATTGGTATTAACGAGAGATATAGTGCCCCATCACTGGTATCAATGGGAGCAATGGTTTCCCATTGTTGGTGTCAGTGGGAGGAATAGTGCCCCATCATTGGTGTCAGTAGGAGGAATAGTGCCCCATCATTGGTGTCAGTAGGAGTAGTGCCCTATCATTGGTTTCAGTGGGAGGAATAGTGCCCCATCATTGGTGTCAGTAGGAGGAATAGTGCCCCATCATTGGTGTCAGTAGGAGTAGTGCCCTATCATTGGTTTTCAGTGGGAGGAATAGTGCCCTAGCAATAGTGTCAGTAGGAGGAATAGTGCCCTATCATTGGTGTCAGTGGGAGGAATAATGCCCCATTATTGTTGTCATTATTGGTGTTAGTGGAAGGAATAGTACCCCTTCATTGGTGTCAGTGGGAGGAATAGTGCCCTAGCAATAGTGTCAGTAGGAGGAATAGTGCCCTATCATTGGTGTCAGTGGGAGGAATAATGCCCCATTATTGTTGTCAGCGGAAGGAATAGTGCTCCATCATTGGTGTCAGTGGGAGGAATAATGCCCCATTTATTGGTGTTAGTGGAAGGAATAGTGCCCCATTGTTGGTGTCAGTGGCGGGAACTTTACTTTAAGCTATCCATACATGGGTTTGAAAACATTTTGAAAGTTCATAAAAAAAGTCTAAACAGCCATTTTATGATTACAAAAGGAATGAGGTACACTAGAATTTCAGAGTTAGACACCATGTATTCGAGGTGTATAAGGTTTAAAAACGGATTTTGATTTACATTTATATATATGAAGATTATTTATTGCTTCTATTTTGTTATTTCTAATACATTGTATTACAGATTATGTGCTGTTGTCCTGTGGATTTAAAATGGTGAATTGCTTTAATCTCGTTTCATTATATATAATAACACTTTATTAGAATTAGGCAGTTCCCATGTTACATTGATCATTTCTGCTGTAGAAAGATATGTGCAGTCTACTAGAGAGCAGTATTTTCATCTTTAGTTTGAGAAATGACTATTATATAGTTACATAGTTTATATGGTTGAAAAAAGACATAGGTCCATTTATTCAATCTAAGTGCGTGTGTGATTTTTATTCTCTAACAGTTACCAGGGCCCTGTATATTCTGCTTCCTGTGGAAGACATCTAAAGGTTCTCAGCTTGTATAATTTTTTGGGGGAGAATGCTCTACATTTGTACTGCCCTAACAGTAAAGAACCCTTTCCTCACTCTAAAATTAAACCTCCTTTCTTCAGACTTTAAATCATGGTCCTCTTCAGGGACCTTAGATTAAACAGCTTATTACCTTTGATATATTTATATAATGTATTCATATCCCCTCTTAAACGCCTACTCTTTAGAATGAATAACTGAAATCTGTGTAATTAATTGAGGTCCTCCACCTCACTTATTAATTTTGTTTCCCTCCGCTGAACCCTTTTTAATTCAACAACGTCTTTTCTGAACTGCGTATTCACGATGAGGCCAAACCAGCATTTTGTAAAGGGGTAGAATTATTGATTTATCTCTGGAATGTACAGAATGCCCTCTTTAATTAAAGAATATGTAAACCCAACATTTCATATTCCTGATATGTACCTGCTGTACTATGTACTTGTGTGAAAAATATTATGTTCCCTTTGTATTGCTTTCTTTAAGTGAAATCCCTGGTGTTCGTGCCAGTCCCCCTGCTTTCCTAATAACAACTGACCACACTGGGCATGATAGCACAGCGTGGTCAGTCTTCTGGCTGTGCTGAGAACTCACCCCGCTTTCCTCCAATAATCAGACTTGTCCTGACACACATCCCACCCCACACCCCCAATGCACGGCCATTTACTGGGAAGACCAGTGTGATGCTGTTTCTCCTCCCCCCAGCTCTCTAAGATCTTTATGCAGCTGAAAACAGAGGGTATGTGATCACTTATAAAAAAGGTGTAAAAGGTGTTTATAAAGTTTTTTTTATATGTATACACAAACATTTTGCCGTTTATTTCTTTTTTAAACTAAATTGGTTGTCTTATGAGGTGAGGGTTCACATTTACTTTAATGACATTTGTTTGCTACTTTGCTTGACATTGCATGCTATTGCTAAGTCTGACCTACAATCACCCCAGATCCTTCTCTATCAACGATTCTCCTATTGGAGCCCTTCTAAATGTGTGTTTTGCATGAGTATTTTGGCACCCTATGTGATAGAATTATTGACTTATCTCTGGAACATGTGTTATGAACTGCATAACTATCATAACTGTCCAAAACTGTGGATTTAGCAATAAATGTATGTGATGCTGCATCCTCCCTGTGGATTCTATCTCTCTCACTTTCTAGCCTATTTATGTTTTTAGTACCTTTCCATGTATAGTAAGGTGGCTAAGGGATTCTGTGCCCATGTATACAAGGTTCCATTGTAAAGTAATGCTCATGCATTACTTAAAGTATATGTGAACCTTCATGTTGTAAAACAACCCGTTCCATTTAATATAAAAATGAAAAGCAAAACATCTGTGCATGCAAATAAAAAACATTATAAACATCTTTTTTTCCTTTTTTTTAAAATAAAATAAGCAATCACATACCCTCTGACTCAGCTACATAAGGAGCTCAGAGAGCTGGTGGACGAGAAGCAGCAGACGCCGAACTTCACAATGAATGGCTGTGCTGGAGAAAAGGGGGCATGCCAGCACAAGCCTGAGCATTAGATTAGCTAGAGAACTGACCATGCTGTGTTCCCATGCCTAGTGTGGTCAGTTTTTAATAGGAAAGCAGAGGCACTGGCAGGAACACCAGGGATTTCACACAAAGGAAGCAATGCAAAGAAAACAGGATACTTTTTAATACAAGTACATGGTACAACAGGCACATATCAGGAATATGAAATGTCAGGATAACATATTCTATAAATAGTACATAGTAAAGTAATGCTGATTAGTTACTGTGCCTTACTCCATAATAGCTAAGTGACTCTTTGCCCACCCTGCTGTGACTTATTGTGGCATGGCTTTATAGCTTTGTGGCTTCATATGTACATTACCAGCTTATATTATGCCTCCATGTACTGTGTATATGTGTGTGTGTGTATGTGTGTATGTGTGTGTGTGTGTGTATATATATATATATATATATATATATATATATATATATATATATATACATTGTATATGTATATGCATTGCCCCTGTGTAAATATAATCATTGGCATCTATATTATTATTATACAGGATTTTTATAGCAGCAACAGTTTGCTCAGCGCTTTACAATATAAAGGGAGACAATACAGCAACGATACAGTGCAATACAAGAGGGTTAGGAGGGCCCTGCTCCTTGGAGCTTACAATCTAAGCTCCAAGGAGCAGGACCCTCCCATCCCTCTTATATTGAACTGTATTGTTGCTGTATTGTCTCCCTTTATATTGTAAAGTGCTGAGCAAATTGTTGCTGCTATATAAATCCTGTATAATAATAATATTGTATTGAACTTGTGATTTTTTCCCCCTTCTTTTCTTAATCAAATATTAAACGTTGACTTTCTGCAAATATATTATTTCTGCCTGAAAGATTTTGGATCTAAAAGCAAGCTTTCATAAAAGTACAGCACATTTTCAGGCAGCTCACTGTATTCCTGCCCACCTTCCCCACATTCTTGCCTGTTTGTGTGAGTCAGGAAAGCGTTCAGCACTGCGCTTGTTGCATGCTAGCAGCCTGCTGAACTCCTACTGCCATATACTGCACTAGAATATCACTGGAACTTGCTGAACCAAGACAAAGGCAGATTTTGATACTTCGTCATGGAACATGAATTTTGTTTCATTTGCTGCTAAAGCACAGGATAGGATTCTACAGATACCTACAAAATTATCACTGAGCTCTTGGATCTGAGTATACAAGTCATCTAATGTACAATGAAGCTTAAATTGAGCATTTTGGCTGTATTTGTTGCTTTTCTTGGTATATTGAGCTTTATTTTTTTAGTGGTTGCTATTGGAACCGATTTCTGGTATATAATCGATGCTTCTAAACTGGAATTAAAAAGGAACTTCTCAGAAACCCTCAGCTCCCACTCAGGACTTTGGAGGATGTGTAACTGTAAGTAATATTGATTGATGTCTCGTTTCAGTCGAGTTGGTTATTTTATTAAGGAGAAGTCTTTCACAAATGTTGTTTGTTTTTTTATTTTTTCTTCCAGTTAAGGACAAGTGTTCTCCTCTGATAAATCCTTTTTGGCACAGCAATGTAAACTTTACGGATTCACAAAAGCAACTTTTAAGTGAGTTTGATTTTGCAATCACTGTTATGTATATTTAATAGTAGTTTATATTTCCTTTCTACAACATCAGACCATTTCCTTAGTGTTAAAGACCGTTCCTTATACCAAAAATAATAGCATGGAATAACTAGACAGACTGGGGTTGATTTACTAAAACTGGAGAGTGCCAAATCAGGCTCACTTCTGCAGGGTTGAGGTTAGAAGCTGATTGGTTTCTATGCAGAAGTGAGCCTGATTTTGCACTCTCCAGCTTTAGTAAAAAAACTCCACTATGCGGTTTGCGTGACTTTATTTAGCTGAAGTCATTTTAATCTTGTTGAATAAATATATATAATTAAACCTAATGTAGCAATGTAACAGATTCAGAAAGCTTGTTACGCAAAAGAGGTAATAAAACAAATTGGTTGCAAAAGTAAAACTTTGCGGTATTGCAACAAAAATAATATATATGTTTTGTAGCTGTTATTTATGATGGCCTCACTTTACTTACTTTTGCTTTAAAATGAAGTATAACAGATGTTTGACGTATGCTCTGCTTATACAAATATTGCTTTCATATCACATTTCAAAATATATTGTGGCTTTTCTAGCTATCAAATTATTGGTAGTCTCTTATCTCCTTAGGGAACAAATGTAGATGATTGGGGAATGTTACTCTTAGATTGTAAGCCCTCAAGCAATACAGAAACGATACAGTGCAACACAAGAGGGTTACTCTTGTATTGCACTGTATCCTTGCTGTATTGTCTCCCGTTATATTGTAAAGCGCTGAGCAAGCTGTTGGCGCTATATAAATCCTGTATAATAATAATAATATTACTGAAATGTACAGTATTTTTTATACTGTTTTCTAGTGCAGCACTGCCCCTTGCAGGATATTTTAAGTACTGCAATAAATATTAGCATTTTAATGATAGGATAATGTTTTCTCCAGCACAAGCTGATTTGTTTGATAAAATGACTGTGGTATTTCTTATAGCAATAAAATACAGTATTGCAGTGTGGGTTAAATAATTGAAACTGCATACAATGTTTAGTTATCCCTATAAATACATAGTATTATCCAAAAACTAAACAAAAAAAATAACCTGCTTGTTCAATGGAAAATTCATTTGAAGTAGTCGCATGATTAAAACAATGCTGTGCTTTTAAAAAAAAAAAAGTATCATTCACAGAGCAAGGAAGTATTTGTTAGCTGCATTCTATGTGATACAGGCATTATTTACTGAAACTGGAGAGTGCAAAATCTGGTGCAAATCTGCATAGAAACCAGCTTCCAGGTTTTATTGCCAATGCTTAATTGAACAAGTTGATGTTAAAAGCCAATTGGCTACCATGCACAGCTGCACCAGATTCTGAGTGAACCAGTTTGAGTAAATCTACCCTCTTCAGTACTAATATTACAGAAAGAAAAATAATTACTAAAATGTATCTAAAACCTAGTTATATAAAGCATCCAGATATATTTATGGGAAAAAATAAATAAAATTAGCGAAAATAAATAAAAACTGATGCCTCTATAAAACTGAAGCCTAAACAGAATCATTAAGGACCTATTTACACATTGCCATTGCAACAAGGTAACATGCATGTGTCCAACTTCTCTATATTAAATATAGTGCCTATTCTCAGATCATGTGTTTTGAAACGCACGACATGTATTTTTCTTGCATTTAGTGCATTTAGCTCAAAGTCAACACATATAAAATGCATTTTGATGTGTGGCAACATACATTAACAAGCCTTGATCAATGTCTGTTAACCCTATCCACTTAAAACTCTAAATTAAAGAATAAAATCACTTTCAGTAACATATTACACTCCGATTTAGGGTATAACATGTTACTATGCAGCACCCCACAATGACAGCGGGTGGGGATTCCTCTCCCTGCACTCAGTGACACAACTTTGCGGGGCTCCGCCTGCACAGCCACATCATTCATTCACAGAAATCTATGAAAGAAGAAACTACAATCCCTTTCTTCCACTACAGCAGATGGACTTGTAGTTTCAATGAACTGCAAAGGCACTGATCAGTGTGCTCCAAGTCCATTCAGTCTTCCTGCAGCTCTGAAACTGTCAGACCATATTGAAGTACAATCACAGAGCTGTAGGAAGTCTGTACAGGAGCCTGACTTTGCACCAGCAACCCACTGATCACGGGTGCAATGCTCTGCAGGCTCCTGAGGAATACAAAATATTAAAGCAGAGCTCCACCCAAAAGGGGAAGTTCCGCTTTAAGGACTGGTCTCCCGCTCCCCGTTAAGGATTGGCACCTTTGGGGAGCGGGGGGGGGGATCGGAAGTGGAAGTTGTCCTCCCTCCCTTCCCGTAGTCTTCTGGGACACGTGACAGGTCCCAGAAGACTACAGGACCATTCACAAAGTGCAGTGCTACTCGTGCATGCGCAATGTGCACTCGGCTGTGAAGCCGCAAGCTATCACAGCCGGGTACCCAAACTGAAGATGCCAGCGCTGGTAACACAGGGCAGCCGGTGAAGCGGGGGGGGGGGGGTGGACACCACGGGATTGAGTGTATTTTGTAAAAGTCAGCAGCTACAGTTTTTTTAGCTGCTGACTTTTATTTTATTTTATTGACACTGGAACTCCACTTTAAATACACATTTTTTACTTCTAAAAACATTTTTTTTTTTTTAAGCTGAATGCATTGAAAACGCAGAAAGTGAAGCACACGCTGACACAGGACCACACACCTGCCTAAAGCCAGTTATAGATCGTTTGAATCTCGACCAATTCAGCAGGGACTGGCTGAGATTTTAACCATCTATGGGCGAGCCGATTCTACCCAAATCGATTTTTTGTACGACTTGGGTACAACCAGCCTGTCGGATTTTTCATGTGGCTATAGCTACTGGCAATAATCACTGTGTTTTCCCAGAATAGATGGCTCACCCCCGCACCCCCTTTCCCCTACCGGGAGAACACAAGAGCTTCCTGGGATAAATTCTCCCATCAATACTGACTGTGTTGATGGGGGAATCAAGCAATTTTCTTTCCTGCAATCAGTGGCCGGCTTAACACTTTAAAAATGCACCTCTACATGTATAAATCTAAATGGTCTCTGCCCTTCACAGATACCTAAGTTTTCCATTTCATCCCTTTAGCAAGAGACATATATGAATGACACAAGCTCTGTGGCTAATTAAATGCAGGTAAGGCCCTGAGAGAATCTAATTACCATCTTAATTTGCTGCAGATCTGGTGCAGTGTATATGTGTTTAGTTTTTAATGAGCTAAGTAATGAGGTGGCTGCACTATACATAAAGTTCCACATATATGCAGTTTTAGGTAGAAACCACTTTAGATTCTAGCAGCAATTTAAATTATGCAAATGATGTTTAGTGGCACATTTTCATCTAGCCATGCTATATTGTGGAATAGGAACCCTATGTAATTAGCAGCTGAAGTGCACTAGATTCAATAAACATCACAATCCAGTCTTTTGATTTTACTCCTAATTAACCTAAAGTAGTTCTGTGGAGGAACCTGTGATAAAGGGATTCCTCTAATGTAAATCAACAACTGCTTCCTGACTAGGGAATATTGGATCTGCCAGGGTGAATCCTGATTGGAATTTGATGAACCCCCACTTAACGGCAAATCTTATTCAAGCTATGCGGAGGCAAATCTTTTTCTTAAATTATGGACATTTCTAGAACTTATAGGTAAACCACAGCCTAAAGGCACAGAAAGCTGGGCACTGCTACGAGGTATATGTACTAATGAAAAAAACTTATATATATAAAAATACAGTACAGCAAAATGAGGGTGCTTTAAATGGGACTCCTGGAGCAACATGGATAAAATACAAATCCTTTAAAATACTACTTTCTAGGTTGCTTTTAAGTGGTTCTATAGCCAGAAGGTTTCTTGCTTTAAAACTTTTGACTAGTTGTTCCTCCACCCTCCCTTAACTTTCCTGAGTCCTGGACTGATCCAGTGCTGGTTCTCTCTCTCCTCTCACAGCTCAGAGACAAGTGGAACCCATTGGCTCCTGCTGCTGTCAATCAAAAGCTGTGAGGAGGGAGCAAGAGGCAGGGCCAAGCCTTGTTGTGTGTGTCAACAGACTCATATGGCCTGGCTTGAGAGTGAACTTGCAGGTGCATTCCCATAGGAAGCAGACTTTTATGGTGGCGCACTGAGAAAAGGAGGAGCCAAGAGTGCTAGTGGGGAACCCTAGAAGAGCTTCAGAGCTGGTCTGTCCAATACCATTGGACAGAGCAGGTAAGTATAACATGCTTGTTATTTTAAAGAATAATCTCTTTTTTTCATTTACAGCTATCAACAAGACAGTTTTAATGAGTCAGAATTGGGTGAAATGTACTGGAGACACAGGGTACAAGCCAGGTGTTTTATTATAAAAATTATAAAAATTAAAAGGCCACAGATGATAAAGCAGTGTACATTTAGCCCCTGGCAGAACACTTTTAAGAATGGATGGAGGTGAATTAGATGGATTAGATCCCTGGGGGAGGAGGGGGGAAAGTTTCTAGGCACCAAAAAATATCACCCCTCCACAGTAATGTCCTCTGTCCCCCTTTACATCACTCCCCACTGTAGTGTCCTGTACCTCCCAATGCAGTGTCTTCTGCCCCCTTTTCATCACCCCCTCCCCACTGTAGTGTCCTCTACCCCCCTCCCCCCCCATACAGTATTGTCCTGTACCTCAAATGCTGTGTCCTTTGCCCCCCTCCCCCCAAAGTAGTGTCCTGTACCCCCCCAAAGCAGTGTCCTCTTCCCCCTTCACACCACATCCCCCCTACTGTCATATCCTCTGCCCCCTTCCCCTCCTAGTAGTGTCATCTGCCCCCTGCATATCACCCAACCCCCCAAACTGTGTAATGTTGTCTACCCTGCCCCATAGCAGTGTTCTCTGCCCCCCACAAAGTGTCCTCTGCCTCCCCATCTCCCAAATAAGTGTCCCCTGTTCTTTTTTTCATCAAAATCACCCCACTGTAGTTTACTCTGTCCCCCCCCCCAC